CTGCGGCTGTCGAAATATGACGCGGCCGACCAGTGGATAGCGGAAGATGACCTGTGCGGAGGTCATCGGCGTCTGGTACTCCGTGTTGTCTTCGTAGGAGAGCAGCGTGCCGCATACCTCCTGCTTCGGAGGTCGTCTGCGACATTGTGCTACTTTGAGTATACTCGATACGAGGGATTACTGTAATGGGAGGTATTTGTAGAGACGACGTTACCTCTCAAGTACTAGTGGCCTGTGCATGACGCTGTGCCGGCCATAGAGCGGTAGGTAGACGTCCCAGTAGGCGCCGCTCAGCTCGTCGGCCAGCCCCGGTAGGAGGTAGCGGTGGTTGAGGTATTCCGTGCGCTCCTTGTACTTGCCCAGAAGCGCACCCACCGGATACTGGTCCATCGTACCCATACCTACATGATACACGTAACTAAAATTGTTTCATGGGACTAGAATGTAATGTACTAATCAAGACTTGTATTTAAAAAATGCGACATCTTTGTTCATCCCAAATGGATACGATTGATAAGTGTTTATTTTTTGTGATCAAAAACAACGTAATTGTGTGTTTAATATAACATCGGTGCAATCAAATTGACGTCACCGATTATCTAAACAATAACAAATTCCACACAATGTGTTGGTGACGTGCAACAACTTCCCGCCGCGCATCATGCGAGATGAACGAATGCCTCATTGTTGCCGCGAGCCACAACATCTGGCGCTCTACCAAGAACTCAAAAAACGAACGACAACTCGCCACTTAACTCGACCTAATTTCAGATGAACACGATAATATCGGTAAAAATTGTGATTTTCCATTCCACATAGTTTTGGAATACTAGCACAGAGCACAACTGATCTAGAAATAGCAATGCCTAGCGCTGAAAATAGATGTACTAAGTTGCGTTCACTTGAAAAAAATACGATGTTACCATCATATTTTTTATTTTATATTACTTTTAAGCCAATGTCAAAAAATGTAAGCTTATGGAGCTTTGTAATTAGTTACACATTATTACATAGAGTGATTATCTTATAGGTTTCACTATATCCATTGTAGTTACACACATTATACCAACAATGTCTTATCATACTTTTATTATGAATGTAAAAGTTTAAATGGATGTTTGTTAGAGTTTGTAGCCTAAACTGCTACACAGATGTCAATGAAATTTGCACAGATGTAGAGGATAGTCTGGAAGAACACTTAGGATACTTGTTTTTTATCGGCGGACGGAGTCGCGGGTGAAAACTATATCTATAAATTATTTGTTATTAATAGACAAACCTGGCGGCGGCACATCGTTCAGATTAATGCCGGTAGGGTTGTAGAGTTCTCCAGTGGTGTTGCACATGGAGTGCACGAGGTCGGGGCCGAGCAGACGCGCCGGCACTTCCCGGATGTTGTACTGCTGCATGGCGCCCACGAATCGCAGGTTAGACTCGTACTCCTGGTCTGCCGCGCCCAACTGGAAGTTTACCCACGTCGGGTCGAACGGCGACCGCTGCACGAAGTCCACCGTCCCCCGGATACCGTCCATGTTTATCAACGCCCTGGACACAACATTACAGACGTGACAATAACTAACCCCCTTTTAAAAAATATGCACCACAAATTAACATAACATTAAGTTTAATGTAATAGTTTCTATTTGCTAAGGGAAGTAGCACTGACTTGGCGTTCTTGGGCTGGCTGGCGCGCAGCTTGGCACACGCGAGGAAGCTGTCAGCGTGCCGGTTGTCGTAGATGACGACGTAGAGGCTGCGGCGCGTCACCTCCATGTCTGCGCGCAGCAGTCCCAGCACATCGTCCTTGTATAGCCGCCGCAGCCGGTGTGTGCCCGGCTCCGTCGCCACGCGGATAAGGCCCAGGCGCGAGTCCAGGTCACCCACGCTCATTCCGTCCCCGCTGTTCTCGGGGTCGAACACCGCCTGCAGCACGTTACAGTTGTCCTCGTAGTTGCCCTTGTCCGAGTCGAATATGTCCGTCACGAATAGCTTCCATTTGTGCTGCGTGAACTCCCCCTTGTCCTGATTAGCCTTCGTATGGTACAAATCCGCGAGCAGGAACGCGTCTGACTCGTCGAAGTCCCGCGTGTACAGCCAGCGAAAGGTGAGACTTCCGGCGATAGGTGACATAAATCTAGCTTCCGCATACTTCTCGTAAAGTTTCTCCGTAGACAGAATAGATGCGCACACAACTCTGTCCCTTTCCGCAGTCTCCAACACTATACTCTTCCCCCACAACCCCAGAGGGCCACTCAAGCTGTTTTTACTTTCGAACTCGGCGTGATCTTTGCCAGGTATTATTAAATATCCCAGTTCCTCAGTGAGATCTATGAGCTCTGTGCCTAGGTTTGCATCAGAGCACCTCTCGTCAGAAAGGTCTTGATAGTCGACAGGGAACTCATGCACGGTCCACCGCCAGACGCCGTCGGGGTGCTGCAACGTGGGCTTCAGGTTGGTCCTTATGCTGATGAGCGTGTCGTTCTTGTTGGAGAACTCGATCTCACCGTGTAGCCCATGCTGCGAGATATACGCGCGCAGCACGAGACATCTGCATTCTGTTCAAGGAAACAACATTGGTTCAATCAGATATAAGATATTTATCCTGCAATAAAAATAATTATGTTAAAACGGCATTCCTCCATCTTTCCATTGCCGGATAAGGACACCTTATGCGATTTACGGTTTCACGCATTTGCTATTATCAAACATTATATTTACATGTCAATCCATACATTATAAACTGTTAACACAGTTATGGTAACCTCCTAAGGCCACTATCAGGGAAATCCTATGCATCATATTAGTTTAGTATATTAAAAACCCTCGCCGACGTATTCCTTAGAAGATCAATTAACACTTAGCGTCTTACTTAGCGTCAGACAAACAAATGTCAACGAGCCTTCAGTGTTAAAACAGCCGCATCAATTAACGTTAACGTGACAAACGTAAAATTGTGTGATGATATCAAACACGTTGCCAATGTAAAAGATAGTAACTTAATACTTTATGCAAAATGACCACACTAACGAAATGTCGTTAGATTCTAACCACATAGCTTTTAAACTCATGTTTAAGTTATCCGTCTTTGTATAATTTTTTTAGAACTTTTGAAAACCTTGTTATGTTTCAACTTTACCCAAAAACTTAAATAGAGATTTCAATATAGACAAAATCTTTTCATGTGTCATCATCCCTAAGGGACTAATAAATACATCCAGTAAGAACCTCCTGCTGCTGAGAATTTATCATTTTTATGTATATGGTACAAATGAAATTTTGAGATATGTTTTGTTTTACATTGTCTTATACGAGGAAGTAATTACATGTAACTTAGCTTCCGTTACTTACTCGTTCACATCAAATTTTGTAAACAATCGGTATAAGTATGTCAATCGCAACTTTATTGCTTAAGCTATAATTATTTTTGTCAACAGACGGAGCTTCCAATTCAAACTATTCTAATAATTTTTAACTATCTGATATTTTTCCTCATATCAGGTTTGGTTCGATTCTTGTCCTTTAAGATATAATTTCCTTTTTATTCGACAACTAAGAAACCGATTCCAAGGTCATCGTAAAGAGAAACGACCATAGAATTACTTTACCTGTCAGGAAAGCCACTAAAATAACTAAACTAATTAACTTTGGCACCAAATCACAATATTTAATAAACATTTTCACATAAACTGCAACGTTACATGTTTATCAACAGAACATGTTCCTCTCTCACGGCCTGCGCCCGCGCATTGTCGAGTTTCACTTGCCCATTGCCGTCTGCCGTCTCATGACTAAGTGAAAGGCTTCGTACAACTTAACGAGCGAGACAACCAGCTGCAGATAGAGATGGAAAACAACACGTAGTTTCTGACGTTACAGTATGAATTATAATAAAGTAATAGTATTAGATAACTGTTAATTAGTTCTTCATTCATTATATTTCATAGGCGTTGAACCTGATGTCTTTGTACACTTCTCTTTGTTATTGTTTTTTTGTGATGTTTTAAACAGACAGCGATATGAAAGTGGTAGGCTAAACTTATTTGTATGGCATAAAACTATGTAAGTTGGTTCATAACTCATTCTGCACAACCACTTCGAGAATTTTTCTTTACTCTCTACTAGTAATATACTATCATTTTTTTGTTACATTAAATGGTGTCAAACGAGCACCCACCTTAATTTCCCGAAAAAGCAAAGCGACCGCTGTCCGTGGACATCCGTGGACATTCCACCTAAGTAGGCAATGCATCTGCAATTGCGGATGTCATATCAATTAGTTGATAGAAAGAAGCACATAAAGAGGATGTTTCCCTTGTTTATGCGTGTCCTCCACCATCAATCTACTTTCTCTTCCCATCCTTACCTTACAAGAAAAGAATGGGAAGGGAAAGGGGGGGAAAAATCATGACTGCATACGCTCACATGGCTACCTTTTGCCACACTTTGGTAATATCTATAGAATAAGTTTTTGAAATGTGTGTATTTTGTTTATTTTTGTGGCAATAAATGTATTCAACACTATTCTAATTAACTAGTATTGAAATATTGTAGTCAGCTCAGGTATTGTCCAGCCCGGGGAATCGAACCCGGGAGTAGTTGGTGTGGATTACAATGGTGTATTTGTGTGCTGACTGAGTCACGGGGACTGAAATAGCTCGCAGCGCGGCGACTGCGCGGGCGGAGCGGACCTACACGTTATTTCTCACTGACATAAGAATATTTCGCATACCAGAACAAAACACAGGCATTCACGACTACGCTCGAATTGTTGGGTAGATAGTCTTAGCTGCTCCTCATTAAAAGTGAAAACGGAGTAGGATGTAGTAGTAAATATGTAGTTAGAACAGGATATCGTCTGAACAGGGAGAGTAGTACTTGAACCCATTCCGACCTTCATTACTCATGTTGATGACGTAAGCAGATAGCTTATCCAGTAGCTTACTGAAACCTAAATAAATAAAATATGTAACAAGCGACAAACTCATCATAATTAAGAAACTAATGGGGATTGTATGTCGGTAGATGCAAAGGAACAGGAAAACCGAAGTAAGTGCGACAGGATTGTGTGAAAGAGGATATGTCTAAGAATAGAGTAAATTGAGATATGGCGGCTGCTAGATGTATATGTACACATTCAATTTTTCGAGCTGCTGTGTTCAGAGTTCAAGTTGGTATTATAATAGTTAGCTACTGGTTAGTAGCAACAATAGAAGATGAAAAGATGTATTTAGAAATGCATTCAGTGCCACCCTTTGAAAGGAAAAGGGCAGGTTGATGAAGATCTTAGAATAAAAAGAAATCTATCTATCCAGAACTGAGCAAAGATTCCTCAGCCATCGTCGCCAACATTGAATCGCTTGATAATTTTAACCAAATATTTCATACTGATCTATCAATACTGAGTTATTATCAAGTATCGTTTGTTCAATTAAAAAGTTTTATCGTATTTCGATCACGAGACAAATAAATAAAACTATAGCCCGCTTGTTGGAAGTAGTAAAAATAGTGCAACAACAAATAGATCATAACATTCCTGTAAGTTTAGCCTAAAAACTGTCGATATCCCTGAGTCACCAGGTGAGCTGTGTATTTTTAAATTATCCATGTGGCGGAAGGCGGCGGCCGAACGCGCGAGCGGACTAAACAGTTCTGATGCCGAGTCGTACGCCGGCTATCGCATTGACCTAACTATATATGGAATGGTTGGCCCGGCACCGGCCAGGGGACGAGGGAGAGGAGGGGCGGGAGAGGCCTGGACGTCGAGGAGGGAACGAAATCTCGGAGTCAGGGTGAGACTGCCGAGCGGTACAGTCTCTCTATCGTCGATCCAACAAACAACACAATGGTAAGTGCGACCAGTGGACACCAATGGACACAAGTGAACCTAGTGACGTGATAAGTGTTTAGTTCAAGTTATTAAAGTGAACATGTGTGAGCTAAACATGCCGAGGACTGCGAGACACAACACAAACATTAAATAAAATAATGTGAAAGTAATAAAAAAATTAAACACTTTTAAACAAAATAATCCAACAAATACAATAACTAGACCAAATCAAGCAGCAACCGCGATTCTAAATAAACCGTGCAAAATGCTTTTTAACGCGAAGTATGGAAATACAAAATTTCTCAAATAAAAATCTCTGAAATATTTTGGATTGCGAATCAAACAACCGATACACCAATATGAAACGTTTTTTGAAATACCACAGTTAAGTTACTGCAACTCTGAGTAGCTTAGTAATTACTTAAGCGCTTAGTTTAGATTTATGTAATTAAATCGATACTAAGAGATCTACTTTATTGAGCTTTACTTCAAATTTAATAAAAGCTGAAGCAACGTGCGGTGCTATTTCCGATGAAGGTTTACGTAACCGGCGCCCGCGCGCAATCCGAGACGCCGCGCTAAATATAAGTAGGCACAAATAGCTCCTAAACAGGTCAGGCGGGGCACAATTATGCTCTGACAATTAGCCAAACTTTAGCGTTAGATGAAATGTATGGAAAAATTCGGTCTTAAAGATTAACTTAAAAATGATTGAAGCTTAATATCATCCTAAACGAATAATAAGCAATCACTAAGGATGATTAAATGATCTAAGTAGTTCGGACGTATGACGTTGTGAAGACTTCGGAATGGCATTGCATAGGTTCGTGTAGCCAAAAATAAATTAATTTATGTGTATTAGAATTGAAAGTATTTTTAGTCGAGACAATTTTAGTTTCACGGCGTTATATTAAATTGAAAGACAGTTTTGTTACAAAGATTTTGGGACACCGATCATAATGATGTAAGATGCTAAAAAAATCTTTTATGAACTGACAACTCACAAGGATTAGTTGCAACTAACAGTTATTTGCCGGTTATTTAAGGTAGTTGTTGTCGTTGATAATTATCTAATGAAGTTGTGTTGCTGCAGGCGGATAAGGACAAGAAGGTAAAGAAGAAGAAGGCACCGAAGGAGGAGGCGCCCGCAGAGGAAGCGCCCGCGCCAGCAGCGGCCGCTGGTGACCGTCAGTCGTCGCGCGGCAGTCGCAAGGCTAAGCGCACCGGCTCCAATGTCTTCTCCATGTTCTCACAGAAGCAGGTCGCCGAATTCAAAGAAGTAAGTGGCTCTACTCAGAACGTCTTAAACCTCTTACCTCTTCCTAAGACTGGGGAATTACTCAATCTAAAATAATCACAGTATACTATGTATGAGTATATTTTTTTGTTACGATTCGATTGCTAGTTCTAGTCAACTTATGATAAGCATTCTAACAAACCATTCGTCCGTCCGTAGGCCTTCCAGCTAATGGATCACGACAAGGACGGTATCATCGGCAAGAACGACCTCCGCGCCACCTTCGACTCGCTCGGCAGGCTGGCAACGGAGAAGGAGCTCGACGACATGGTCAGCGAGGCATCCGGCCCCATCAACTTCACACAACTGCTCACCCTCTTCGCCAACCGCATGTCCGGCGGCTCCGACGACGACGATGTTGTCATCAACGCCTTCAAGACCTTCGACACCGAGGGCAAGATCGACTCTGAGAGGCTGAGGCACGCGCTCATGACCTGGGGCGACAAGTTCTCCGCCGACGAGGTCGATGAGGCCTACGACCAGATGGAGATCGACGACAAGGGCTTCATCGACACCCAGAAGCTGATCACCATGCTGACCGCCAGCGCCGAGGACGAGGAGGGCGGTGAAGCGGCGTGAGCTTCCCAGCCGCAGCACCACCCGACACCACCCGGCACCGCCGCCTGACCGCTGACAACAACGCAGCTAGTCCACCCGGTCCACTCGGTTCGCACAGAACGGATTAAATGTAAACCGAACCGAAACATGTTTTTATTTTAATATCTTTATGTAATTTATTGTTTCCATTTTATAATTTATATTATAATGAAAATATAGTACTACTATAACAAAATGGTGTCATAATGTCCCTGTAACGTAGCGTAAGATTGGAGGGATCGAACATTGACTGCATTTATACACACAACGCACGCTCTCAGTCTCAGACACGCATTCGGTTCAATTTGCTAAACACGCCACATTAACACATATCGAGATTTACTACACGTGGAAAAACCAGTAACAAGGAAATACATGTTTCTGAACTGCCACTCATGCAGTTAGTAATTGTCCTAATTTGTCGACAATTATATCATAGATAAGTTAAATTTAGGTAAATAAAGACAGAAATACAACACAAATTTACAAAAAGCCTTAAATTATTTAAGAATTCCTCATAGGAAGTTAACAATAAAAATGATTTAGCTAGAGTAGAACTTCATTTTTGTAGTGGAAACACTATCACTCTGTCACTATGATAAAAAACTACTCTTCTTCTTTACTACCATAAAGAATTACTTAAGAACTACTTATCTTGATATACGTGAATGATATACGAAAATGAACGTATTAGTTATAATTCATTAACTCGCTTCACGCTACACTAATTCGGGTATCACAGCAATTACTTATACTACCAGTCCGTGAAAATTGCAAACAACAGAGTGGTTACAAGATCTCGTCAGAAAATACGTGACATAAATATTAATGATGCCTACACTTTTCACATCCAGTGATCTAAAATCGTTTTAGCCGACTGTAGGCACTGCCTCAAACCGAATATAGCTCTGATAATTCTGATAAATAAACCTTCTCCGTGCCGCCGGCCGCAATCCTAAACTTGTATTTGATTACGTAAACGAATCTCTCAGCGCTGCCCTCGCCAAGCCTGCTACTGTGCCGACAAGCGACATTTTAGTACATCCTATAAAATAGTATGAATTATTTATTCAACAATGATAGAACACCTCAGTGAAATACCGCTGCCTCAGAGAAGACAAGATTGAAGCGGAAGAAATTCCGCGTTTAATATCTCTCAACTCACTTACGATCAAGTTAAGTGACCGATTCCTTATCTCTAGTTTACAATTTATATGGGGGACGGCGCGTACGCAGTCCCCACTACCAAAAATTACGCGTCCGAGTTATCCGCATTAGGGATAATCGCAGGGGTCAACCCAACCGCAGTGCAATGGAGGGGCCTCGCCCTGGGGGAACCGCCTTCGTGATCACGGTAACCCCTACGCCAGGTAAGTATGCTCGAGTTGCGTCTCGCAGCGAGAGTCATCCACCGCGCGATAATTTACACATCGCGATCTGTTATTACACAAATATATACTGCGCCATCTACCGTACCTATCCGACGACACAACTATAAACGGCACTACTCCCAGCTGTCTTTTAATAAAATTTAATAGCGCCATCTAGAAAAAAAGACTACCATGCTACTAAAAATGTCAGTGTCATTTGTCAACACTCGATTGTCAAATCTTGTTGACATACAACAATAACAACAGTGGGTGTTTCAAGTATTTCGTCTTTTCATTTCCTCAAAATGACTACAGAAAGGACAGAAAAAATTGTAAATAGTGAGACAAAAACATTCAAGTTCTCATTCCCGACTTGCACGAATGAGGAGATACTATTCAAACTGGAAGTGCCGATCGAGATACCATACGATGGCTCGCCTCGCGAGCTGGTGCAGCGCGTTATAAATATGTTCCACATACCCGTGTATCTGGAAGATGGTAAGTAAACCCATTATTCTAATTAGTTGATCGAAATTTAAATAACTTTTAATTGAGTAAATTTTTTTTTAGAGTTGAATGAGAAACTGGCTCAGTTCATCAGCGAGGAGACGCGCGATTTCCACAACAGCCGGGACGAGAAGCTCCTCAACCAACTGAAGAACAGCGAGCTGAACGTGGACGGTATTGTGAAGCAGTGGGAGAAACTCTTCAAAGAGAATGTAGTGGAGTTTGCTGAACAAAAGGGAACTTCTGATGAGGAGGTACACATACCTATAAAGCCTGCAACAGATATTTAGTTTTAACAGAAAAGTCAAACTGTCTCATTAAAACTTAACAGTTTTAATGAGACAGTTTGACTTTTCAGATCAAGAGCCTGCTACATATGTTAGTTTGACCGTCAGGATGTAAACACAAGTTAAAACTGTTCTTTTACATATATTTTGTTAATAAAAAAAGATCTAATAAGTATTTATTTTTACCAAAACATAAATGTCAATGTATGTTTTAGGTGTTTGCTGCAGCATACCACAAGTTAGTACACTCCCCTGCACTGGACACCATCCTGCAGGTGGAGAACTCCTACGCCAAAACTGTCTCTGATATGATGAATAGCCGCGATGAAGACATCAACAAACTCACAGAAAGGTAAAAAACATTTATAAACAACTGCATGAAAAGTGGTGGAGTATTTATTGCTCTTAAATAACCTAAAATGTTTGCTTAGAACATTGAGATGTCATTTATCTGTTGAGCTAGACAAACAGAGGAGATGGAAGAGAAGATGCGCCTGCTGAACGTGAGCACGACGGAGGAGGAAATCAACGAGACGGCGGTGCAGCATTTCGAGGCGCAGAGCGTGGCTGCGGCGCGCTGGGAGTCCCAGCTGGACGCGCTC